GTTCTACATGTTTTTTGAAATATGAATATCGACAGTAGTCTTATGTGACTACTGTGATCTCAATTTATAAACATGAAAAGGAACAAACGTAAAAAATGACTCCTTTTAACTTTCTTATGTTGAACAAAGACTCGGATTTTATCTGGAAGTTATGATAGTTTATCGAGCATCTCCAATTCAATCTTGACATCACGCTTGGCTGATTCTTATCATTTAAATTAATTTAAATTGGATTTCTTATGTTGGGCTGAGGTTATCTAGTCCTATGTGCGAAGCCCTCTTTTTTCATGGCTTTAAACATTCTTGCCATATGGCAGGTGTCGAGCCAAGTTCGATTTACTACTGTTTTCCGAAGACTGGCGATCTAAATGATGAATAGATAAAAATTGGTTTCGATACCAATACATCAGTTATATTATATGTATTCACCCTATTTCGTTTAAGTTGATAAAGGACTGTTAGTTGGATTTTCCCGCAATGATAGGCATAGAGCTGACGCTGTTATTAAATTTTACATAGCCTTGCTTTCACATAAGGTTTTCTCACACGAAGAAAGCAAGACTATGTGAAATTCAATAGCAGTGTCAGCTCTATTAATATTAATGTGGGAAAATTCAACTACCAATCCTTCATCACCTTAAATGAAATTGGATGAATACCTCTCATATAATTTTATTTATTATTGGTGGTCTCGAAATCTTACCTATAAGCGAAAAATGTCAACATTATTGTTTTTTACGGCATTAAAAGAGACTATTTAATGTTTCAAGATAATTTTTACGCCATCCTATGCATTAAGAACATTTTAAGTTACGACTTTTGCTTTTTCTTTTAAGACGCATTTCATCTACTGTTATCTGAACCACTACTCCAGGATAGCTATCACTGTCATGCTTTCTGCTCGTGATCGCGTTGTGGATACGAACTTCTCTCGACAAATGCACAATAGAATTGTTCATATTGCTGTCCAACTGTTCTCTGGCGAGGCTCTTGCCTTACGCCTTGTCAAAGAGAGAAAGTTTATGCATCTTCTTTTACGTTGCTTCGTTGGAATGTTCAAAAATTGTCTTACGGTTTGTCTTTTCTTTATTTGAACCGTTTACAGAACGTCTTATATTGTTTACTTTTTAGATGACTTTTTGCACATAATCTATGTTGCTATGACTATAAAATTCACCTGGGATTCTTTATTGGCTCTTATATGAATAGATGATCTAAATCGAATTTTTTAAAAATCTTAATGAAGATTATCTACCTCCTATTAATAAATTGTTGATGTCATTTACCTCTTCAGATTATAGTTATTACCTCATACTTTTCAATTGTAGCCGTAAAACCAACTAATTATTTATGCCCCCGATAAATATGAGGAATAGAGGGTTTGGCCGCACTATAAAATTCATTACCGTGGTATTATTTTTTCAAGAAGATCCGAGTCATTGTTTATCGTTTTTAAGATTATTATACGTTTTGACAGCACTCGTGGATTTCACTATTTTTTATGCACCGGCAGTGAGATTTAAGTGATTTAGATTCGCAGTCTATGCCCATTAGATAAAAAATATAAATAACCTCTTCTTTCTACAAAGGATTACATTATTCTTTCTGCACAAAACAGGTTTTAGGTTCTACAGAATATCACAAATTCATGAACATCGACATTTATGCTCAACATAATATAGTTGAAATTAAAGATTAAAACCTTAGTAATAATTAGGTTAAGTTTTAGATAAGTTATAATTTTTAATTTCCCATATTTGAACATTCTTGCATCGCTCAGTTTTCCAATTCTCTGTTATGTAAAAGACCAGTTTATTGGGAATAACGTCACGGGGGTTTTACTTTGTTATTAATTTTCAATCATAATCAGTTTAAGCTTTTATTAATTTTTTATACAACAACCCATTAAGCATTCTGTTTATCCAATTTTAAGTGAATTTATATGAAAAAATATGATTTTAGCTAATGTTGTCTCAAAGTACTTGATTAAGTACGATAAACTGATAATAATAATAGGTTAATGTATAACTAACCGCTTATTCCTCTAGTCATTGATAGCCATGTTTCCGCCATGATGGTGCCCTTGATAAAACCGTGGGTTTTTTGCTTATAAGTAGATTTTTAAGACTACCAGTCAATCATATATATATTTGATGTATTCACTCCATTTCACTAAGATGATGAAAGACCGGTAGTTGAGTATGCCTTGAGTTGCCATTGAATTTGACATAGCCTTACATTCCAAAAAGTATTATCATTTAAAGTTGACTCCAGTTTTTACCTCGCCTAGGTCTTATCAGCGTAATTCCAATCCATGTTGGAGTAGTGCAGTGTATAATCATGAAACTTCACCAACACGCCGCACTTCTAAGAAAGCCTTTATGCCACAGGACAGCAGTGAATATATCTCATATATATGATCTATCGGTAGTCTCGAAAACCTGCTTATAAACGAAGAATTCAAGGTTCTTATCAACATTCCCAATGAATCATCATCATGGCAGAAATGCACCGGCAGGGGATGAGCGATTAGTCATGCATTTACCCAATGTTGTCGAATGCTATAGCATATACAACTTTGCCTCATCGTCAATCTCACCACAGAATGTGATATGGGAAAATGTCTGGCTTTCCTTGGAATTTACCTCTTTTCTGTTACCTAAGGGCATTTACGCCAAAATGAGGTAGTGGTTAGCGTGTCGAGATTATGTTCTGCACTGTCATGATTCGAGACCCGCTGAGGGTGCTGATGCTACCTAGGCTAGGTCAAAACTACTATCTAGCCTGGATAAGAATGCCTTCTGGGTAGCAAGACTATTTTAAGCTCATTGAAAACTTAAGGCCTTTTTATATTATTGTGGTAATATTCTACTA